GCTTGCTTAGAAAATAGATCCACTACCACCCAAATCACCGTCACTGATTTGCTCGGTGGTAAGTCAGTTATAAAATCCATGAAGATAACTTCCCACGGTCGACTCAGATTAGGAAGCGGGTGTAACAGTCCCGGGGTTTTCCCTGGCCTGGGTTTACTCATGGCACAGATTTGGCACGACTGAACAAATGAGGATCAATCCTTGCGCATTTGTGGCCACCAAAACTGCCTTTGGAGTAATTGAAGGGATTTAACGAATCCCGTGTGTCTGGACAGTTTGGAGCCATGCACTGCCTGTAACACCTCCCCCCTGAGCGAGAGGGGAATGAACAGCTTATGTCCCCGGTACCAACAGCCATTGTCCCGTAGTTCAAAATCGCCCTCCGCTTCAAGAACTGCCTTATCCCCCACCGAAAGGGCGGAGGCGAATTTACTGTGCCAAGTGTCTTTTGCCTCCTCCCCCGCCCCCGGAGGAGCCAGGTGCAACGTCACAGGGGGTGGGGAGGTTAGGCGGGTGTGGCTGCGAGTCGTCACCGCCCCGCCCAGCTGTGAGGGTATGAACACTGAGTCCAAGACCACATCTCATTGGTTGTCGTGTTGGGGTAGGCAGGACAGGGCGTCAGCCAAAGAGTTTGCAGAACCCGGGAAATGGTGCAAGGTGAATTGAAACTTGGAAAAGAAATCGGCCCACCGGAGCTGTTTGGCATTGAGGCATCAAGGTGTTTTGAGAATTTCTAAGTTCTTGTGATCAGTCCACACCTCGAATGGGACCCTCGCCCCCTCCAACCAATGCCTCCACGTGGATAGGGCGAGCTTTATTGCCCCTGCCTCCTTTTCCCATATCGACCAGTTACGTTCCGTGTCATTGAATTTCCTTGACACGTAAACTAATAGATGCAACAAGCCATCCCCCCCTTCTTGCAAAATTGCCCCCCCATGGCAACAACAGACGCATCAGTTTGCACAACAAATTTTTTCATTTCATCGGGGTGGGCAAGAACCGGTTCCGAGGTGAACAAGGCTTTGAGGCGATCGAATGCCTCCTGACACTCTTTACTCCATGGCAGCGTGGCGCTCGGCTTAGTAGCCTCTGGGCCCCTCCCCTTAGTTTTTAGCAGATCTGTGAGGGGTAAGCTGACCTTGGCGAAGTTAGGAGAGTTCCTCCGGGTTCCCATCAAAGGTGGCTTCGATGAGGTCTTTTGGGCGAGGTATCACCCGTTCCCTTGGACTGCCAGGACGTGGGGCTGGAACCAGGATATCGAGAGGGCCCGGTTGCGGGGCGTCCTCAGGCTGGGGCAGCTGTGGCGGCGGGGCCAGAGGGGCAACAGACCCTGCTGGGACCGCTGGTTGGGCCTCCCTCTCCTCCCTGATGGCTTGGATTACCAGCTGCGGGATTGCCTGGATGACATTCTCCAAAGTCCGCTGCAGTTGCCTTCTCTCTCGATCCTCCTCCTCCATCCTCTGGGCCAGTTCCAGTCCCTCCTCCGGGGACACATGGCCACTTCTCGCTTTCGTCCTCTCCGTCACACATGCCCCGGGCAATGGCTTGAATGGGGCCCCAAAGGGGGGAAACCCCCCTGCCGTAGAAAATCCCCGGTCAAATCGGCTGTCTCTCGGTGGCCCCTGCGTGAGCATATAAGTCTCTGCTGTAGAGTCCGGGTGAAACTGGCTCCAGCTGGAGCTTTGCCGGTAACCATGGCCGGGCGGCCGCCTCGGCCCCGTCAGGGTCAGAAACACCAGGGTCGATGTCGTCTTAGGAACGGCTCCCATGTCAGCTGCAGTTACCGGCAGTGTAGTAGTCACCGGCACAGTTGCCTGGATCGTGGGAGTCCCCCCACCAGTCATGGTAGGGGTCGGGCTCCCCCCGGAGTCGTCCTTCTTAGGAATTGGTTTCTCCTCTCCGTTGCTCATCTCAGTTTTAGAGAGATGCGCGGAGATAAAGAATGGAGGATTCTTAACAGAATGTCAGAACCCATAGCCAACAATGAAGTACACGCATTCAAGAACGGTAATACTTTTATTGCAGAGCTATAGATGCAGTAACATAAGCACTGTTAAGAATGGCGGCGGCCCCATGGGCATAATAGGATATAGGGTATTCGTATGCACCCCCCCCAGCACTGGCCAATTAGGCACCCTCCTGCACGCGGGATAAAGTTTCAAGACCGTTAGGTAGCTAAAGCTGAGAACCAACACTCTCCCACGGCACCTAGGAAAAACCCAGACAATACAACTCCCTCCTGCACATCTGTATAGATAAGCATTTCGGTGCAAAGCTGAAAAGGCACAGAAAGGAATTGCAGTAGCAATTAACCAGACACAGACCAAGCTCCCCATGGCAGCGTAGCTGACACTTTCGGGTATGTTGTAGGGCTATCTATCGGCTATGCTCCTGCAGAGTGCAGGGGGTTGGACTAGATGACCTGCAAGGTCCCTTCCAACTCTATTCTATGATTCTATCCAGGGCATGAGGGGTCTTGTGATCAGGGCCTTAAATGCCTGCTTTTCTCCCCAATGCCCCTTCCTCAAAAAAATCTATCTTAAGAGAGTTGTGGAGAACTCAAAAGCTTACTGTCCATATTGTTACGGGTGTTCTTAATAAATGGGATTACAGAGCTTTTAGTTCGGGGTGCTTTTTGCATGTGAGCAGAGATTCCCTCAGACAGCTACAGAAGGACATGCCATGCTACCCCCATCTAGTGGGCACCGAAGGAAACAGCAGAAGAAATTCCCAGTTGCCCTACTGAGTTCACAACACGGGCTGTCCTGGGGTGGAGGTGAAATAGATTTTTATCCGCCCCAGAAAACCCCCACCCCTTGAAAATGCTGTGATTCACACTCCCCTGAGCTCTCCTCTTTATTTTATGATCTCTCTCCCTCAGCTCAATCATCTGGAGACGCAGGCCCAACCAATGAAAATTCCCTCCCCAGCAGGAGACTTTAAAGACGGGTTCACACCAATACCACCTAGAAGCCCCAGCGGCACCTGGGCAACCCTTCCAGTCTCTCCCCAGTCTCCTGTTTGTCTGCTTTTGGGGGGGTTTTATGGCATTGTGAGCAGCATTGGTTGCCCAGGTTAAAAAAACCAAAACCAAGGGATGTTAAGTAAATACTACACTAGAGTGGGAAAAGATACAAAAAGGGGAGCTGTTTGCTCAGATTGGGAAGAACGCAGTTGTCTTCAGGGCAAGCTCTAGGAGCCAAAGTAAAGCTGATAGCCTCAGGCTGCAGTGGGGCAG